CCCACCCACCCCCGCCCCCGGAGGAGCCAGCCCCTCTGAGGACAGCCCTGTGCGGCCCTTCCTGCCTGAGCCCCCGGGCTGCGTGCTCGCTCGTCCGGCCAGCTGCTTCCCTCTGTCCCCGAAATTCCAGGCGCTAGGGCCCAATCCCCTGCCGGCCTGCGAGGGCTCTAGGGACACCAGACCCGGTGGTCCCGAGGTCTTTGGGGGGCGGAGGGGGCGGGCCAAGTTCAAAGATATTGGGTTGCGCACAGCCTCCCTCGGGGTACACTCGGCACCTGCTCATGCGCGCGCCGTGAGCTCAACCGGAGCTCCTGGCACGTTCCGCTTCACCTCATCGGCGCCCCCACCACGACTGCCCCCTTTTAGGACTGGTTGATGTCGGCGTACTTGTCTGTGCACCCGTTTGCCTCCGGAAGCCTAGCGCCCCTCTCGCGCGGGCCAGACACGCGGCGAGGGAGACGCGGGACCCGCCCCCGCCACCACCGCAGCTCAAGCTGACCAGCTCGGCCACCAGGCGGCAGCACTGAGCTCGCCTTGTGCGTGTGTCTGAGGGAGGGAATGGGGACGGATTTGGCGGAGCAAAGGGCGACTGGGGAGGGTCCGGGCTAGCAGGGGTGCGACCCCCACCCCAGGCCCGGGAAGCAACGAGGCCAGGGCTCTGCATCTCTGCAGCCGAATCGAAGAGATCCCGACTCAGATGCCTCCCCCCACTTCGGAGCGCTGGAGCAGGTCGGTGGCCAGGACAGGGGGATCAGACAGGTCAGGGGTCCCCACTTGGGCCACCTCCTACCACTGTCACCCTGAGGGAGTCCCCATTTCCAGAGCATTTAGACAATTCCCTGGACCAGCTGGGTGGGGGAAACACCCACCCATGCTGCTGCCTTGGGCAGGGGTGCCTCCGGGCCCTAAGAAATCCAGGCAGTCCCCACGATTCACAGGGCTGGAGACGCAAGGAGGCCTTTGGGCCCCCAGAGTGAGCAGGTGTGCAAGGGGTGGGCTAGTGCAAGCGCACTGCAGGCGGCCCTGAGCCCTGGTCACATTCAGCTCTGCGGGACACCAGCTGTGTGACCCCGGGGGCTATTCACCCTCTCTGAGACCGCAGGTCATCTGTACCGTGGGAACAGACTGCCCATCTCCTGGGGTGCCTGCGGGGCGCACCGTGGGCACTGAGGAATGCAGAATGTATTAGGGCCCGGAGGTGGCAGATTGGGGGATCTGGTGGGGAGGAACGGGAACTGTGAACCAGCTGGGGCGCCATAGACAGGTTTATTCTGGGCCTCAGGGGCCTGAGGCAAATCCATAGGGGCACTCTCCAGTACTGCCACCAAATGTCCCATCGTGTCCAGCTGCGCCTATGCTACAAGAGGTTCACTTTGGCCACCACCTGCTTGCAGCCAGTGACAGCGAACTCGCGGCCAGCGACGCTGTAGTAGCTGAGCTGCGCGGCCAGGAGCTCGGCGCGGGCCTGGTCCGGGAAGAAGCCCTCGCCCGCCATCTCGTCCCGGAAGCAGTTGACCACGTCGCGCTTGTCCAGCAGCAGAAAGGGCACGATGGCCGCGGCCTGCCACAGCGGGTGCTCGCGGACCAGGAGCGCCCGCAGGCCCGCGCGCAGCTCCTCCTCGGCCCGGGCACCGTGGGTACCGTCAGGGCGCGGGGGCAGCGCACGGGACGCGTTCTGCAGCACGAAGCGCGTGATCTCCGCGCCGCCGGCGCCACTGAGCAGCACGTAGATGGCGTTGTGGAAATGGTGGGAGCGCTGCGGCTGCAAGAAGCCGTGCAGCTCGTCCAGCAGCGCCGGTGGCATGAGCTCCACGTCGTCCAGCACCAAGAGCGGCGTCATCTCCTCCGCCTCGGCCTGAGCCACCACGTCCGCCACGCGCCGCGCCAGCTCCTCGCGGCAGTCCTCCGCGGAGCGCGGCTCGGGACAGTGGTGCCGCGCATCGTACTGCAGCACCGGCGCGCCGTCCTCCAGCACCGCACGGAAGTGGCGAGCCAGCAGGCGGCCCACGTGGCTCTTGCCCACGCCACTGGGGCCGTGCAGCGCAAGGAGCAGCGGGCGGCTGTGCACGTGCGTGGCCAGGTAGTCCCGCAACAGCGCCACGATGCGCCCCACGGCCGCCGACTGGCCGAACACGGCGCGCTGCAGCGCCTTCTCCAGCCCGTCGAGGTCGTAGCGCTGCGCGTTATCATCCAGGTTCTCGATGGCGTTGAGCACCTGGAAGCCCACGATGGCCACGAGCAACAGCAGGCAGCGCTGCGCGCGGCTCTGGCGCTCCGCGCGCGGCCGGCACTTGCGCGCCGTCTCGGGGTACAGCACCACGCGGCTGCGCCGGCGCTTCTTCCGCGGCGTCCTCGGGGGCAGCTCCGCGGGGC